TAATCGTTTTTTAAAATCAAAGTTTATATTTTTATAAATATAGGATTTTAAAGCTTGAGATAAAAACTTGAAAGAAGATAAATTTGATATAAATTCCTAAGTAGGGATAGGTTTAGTTATGGATTAGTCACTTAGCTAGTAGCTATAGATGTAGTTGATGCTAGTCAGTCAGAGTAGCTTAGTTGACTAACTAAAATCATTACTGATGCTAGATTTTTAATATAAATAATAATCACAGGTAGTGATACCTAACAAAACTATTTTTGCACAAACAAAATGTATTTGTCTCTGGTTTTATTTGATGAAACCCAGACAAATGATAAAACTATAGATAAATAACGAAACTATAGATAAAGGATAAAACTATAAACAAATAATAAAACTATAGACAAATAGCAAAACTATAGACAAATGATTAAACTATAGACAAATGATGAAACTATAGATAAAACTATAAACAAAACTACAGATAATTGATAATTGATGAAATTAGAGATAGGTTTCATGCATACTAAGAAAGTGTGAACTAATTAGAGATAATTAAAACTAATTAACTAATTGTCTCAAGACTCAACCTTGAATTGGTAAACAGAAAGAAGCTGTAAGGATTTAGTTTAGGTCTTAAGGTTAGGTTGTACTATACTATAACTAGTCTTACAATATTTAATATTATTATTACAAAGCCTAATAAAGTGAAGGCAAGACTGCCAAATTTTTTTTTTAAAAAAATATATATATATTCATAGAGTTTCATTATAAGTTTTGTTATGAGTTTTGTCATTTATTATAAGTTTTATCATTCGTCACAGGTTTCATCATTTGTTATGAGTTTTATCATTCGTCATTCATCTAATTAAAGCTGCCAGACAAAACAGTTTCATCATTTGTCTAGACAAAACTATTTTGTCTTTTATCAGACATTATTAATCATAGGCACTTTAAAATTTTTCATTTTGGTATGACAAATGTGTGAGTAATGAATAGTGGCATGACAAATAACACATAAGCAAAACTATTCTTTATTTGTTTGTCACACCCATATTCGTCACATATGTCACATCAAGCAGAAAATTTAAAAATAGGCTTATATTATTACATAACATGTCAATCTTTGTCAAAACAATCTAATTCTGGTCAAATTTGCAGATTATTTCTCTGAATTTTCTATCCAAATAATCTGCAACTTTGACCAGAATTAGATTGTTTTGATTTATATGATTGTCAAAAGTAGAAACCAAGGAATTTGATAATTTTTTAAAAATTAACCTGTTTGATTAATCAGATATAAAATTTAAAGTCCAATATTTTTTACTTAATAATGAAAGTTTGATTATTTAATAAATTTTTGCGATACAATGGTTAAAAGCTTTTGATACCATAGTTTAAAAATAGATTTATCATTGCAAATGTTAGTATAATAGTAAACTGCAGATTTAATAATCCTGTTTAAACAGGTTTGTTAATATTGAATATACTATTTTTAGATTGTTTTGATTTTATGTAACAAAATAGTTTTTGCCAATTTTTTCAAAACCTATGATTAGCCAAATTTCCTGGTTTCTAATTTTGATGCCTATATACTCTTAGACTATATTTATATTGATTATTATCAAATAATTGATTAAATAATTAATCAACTATAGTCGGCTATTAGCTGCTATAGCTGATCGGCTAACTAGCTAAGAGTAGTCAACTAATAGTTGACTATAATTAGTGTTGGGCCTGAATCTTGGATCTGGATCTTGAACTACTTTGGTCCAATCTAGTCCAATTATTGAACCTAGTAGGTATTGGACCTTGGACCTGGTTCAATAAAATATATAGTTATATCTAATATATGATATTATATATCATATATATTTTTGTTAGCTACTATTGGTTATTTTAATATAGACTAGAACAAGGTTTTTTTTATTAGAACATAGTTATGATTTCATAGTCAAAATTTCGAGTTATATATTAACAGTTTTTTAAAAAACCATAATTTCATATTACACTACAAAGGAAATATAAATAGCTTCGCTATCTAATTTAATGACTAAAAAAAATCAAGTTATATTGCATAATAATAATTTAAATATTGCTGCCGAATTGATAGATTTCACATTCTAAATTAAAGTAAGTATTGATTTATATGATATAAATATTGTTACAAACTTATTGCCTATATACTGAATTAATATGAAATTAGGTAATTTCTATAAAACTTACATATTTAATTAAAGTAAATAATTCTAAAATTAGTTGGCTTATTTCAAATACATTGATTTTTAATCATAATAGTAAATATTTATATAATAACAAACTAATAAATTTCACTCAAATTGTATATTTGATAGTAACTTGAAAGGCTTATTAATTTAAGTAACTTAATGAACAATTTTATTTTTTTAATCAACTAGAAAAAAAAAACAATATTTTGAAGCTATTTTTTACAGATTTGGATCAAAATCCTGAAAATAAGAATCCTGAAGGATTAAAATTCTCTGTCAAGATCTGTTTATTAGAATTTTGATCCAAATCCACGTATCATTAGATAATTATCAATAATCTATGATAAAATAACAGGTTTTAATTGCCTAGCTAATTATGGCTATTACTTTTTCATATAAAAAATTGCAAATTACAGCCAAAGAAATTCACATTTCCATGGCATAAATAAAAACCCTAAAATTTTATCTAATAAAACTTCTGGATTTTCCTTTTGAAACACTCAAATAATGCCAAGGTTATAGTGTGAAATTTTTTTTTTTTGAAGTTATTTTCACAGATTTGGATCAAAAACTTAAAAATAAGAATGCTAATAGGATCGAAATTCTTTGTTAGGATTTGTTTATCAAGATTTTGACCCAAACCCACATATCATTAGATAATATCAATAATCTATAATAAAATAATAGGTTTTAATTGTCTAGCTAATTATAGCTATTACTTTTTCATATAAAAAATTGCAAATCATAGCTAAAGAAATTCAGATTTCTATACTTTAATTGTGATATGAGTGAAAATTCTAAAATTTTATCTAATAAAACTTCTGGATTTTTCTTTTAAAACACTCAAATAATGCCAAGGTTGTACTATAAGAATTTTTTTTTGAAGTTATTTTTACAGGTTTGGATCAAAACTTGAAAATAATAATCTTGACAGGATTGAAATTCTCTGTCAGGATCTGTTTGTCAGGATTTTGACCCAAACCTATGTAAAATTGATAATATTGATAATCTATGATAAAATAATAGATTTTAATTATTTAGCTAATAATGGCTATTACTCTTTTATATAAAAAATTGCAAATCATGGCCAAAGAAATTCATATTTCTATACTTTAAATGTGATGCGAGTGAAAACCCTGAAATATTATCTAATAAAACTTCTGGATTTTTCTTTTAAAACACTCAAATAATGCCAAGGTTGTACTGTGAGAATTTTTTTTTTAAAGTTATTTTTTACAGGCTTTGATCAAAATCTTGAAAATAAGAATCTCAACAGGATCAAAATTTTTTGTCAGAATCTGTTTATCAGGATTATGACCCAAACCCATACATTATTAGATAATATCAATAATCTATGATGAAATAACTAGTTTTTAATTATTTGGCTAGTTATAGCTATTACTTTTTATATAAAAAATTGCAAATCATAGCCAAAGAAAACCACATTTCTATACTTTAAATGTTATGCAAGTAAAAATCCCAAAATTTATCTAATAAAGATTTTTGAATTTTCCATTTAAAGCACTCAAATAACATCAATAAGAAAATTTTTTTTTTAGTACTTAAAATCTCATAAATCATTAATTATTATATCTAATTAAGATTTTATTCCATATATATTTGGTGTGGTATGAATTTTAAGAATATTGTGCTTAAAATTAAGTACAGATTACTTTTACTAAAATTATTCTAGCTGTTTATATAGAATAAAAAAATCTACAACTGATACTAAAGCTTGTTTCAGCTTTAAATTCATTCTTTAGCATTATCAGAATCAAAAATTTTTGTATTAGAAGTAATTAAATCTGAGAAAACAATAAATCTATATTATAAAATAGCTCAATAGAACTACTTTTAGTTTAATAACAAAAACTCTTATTATTCAGGTTTTAGAATAATCAGATTGCTATTTTATTTGTATTAATATAATTGTAATTTATCTGATAGTTTACATAAATGATCAAAATAAAACTTGCAATATGTGTGATCCAAATAAAATCTTGTAATAATTTTTTAACTTCTAATAGTATTAATTTGGCATTATTATAGATATTAATACTAATGCTATAAAATAATTCCTGATTATATGTATAAATATTTATTATTTATAAAGAATTGATTTGAATACAAAGCAATACTTCTTTCAATCCTAAATTTATTAATTTGCTAAATAATACTGAAAAAAAATCTACTTGTTATCATTTAACAGAATTTATTGAAGTTTTAAAAGAAAAGTCTAATGAATATAATTGGTTTGCTATATATATTGCATGTAAAGAAGCTAAAGGCTAAGAATATATGTATTCAAATAAATTTGTCAATACAAAAAAGCTTGTAAAATTACATTTAAAAAATTGCACATATTTTAAAAACCAAAAAGGAGAAGATGAGGCTACAAGAATATTTAATAATATGGATAATGAAAAATCAAAAAATTTACAAAAAAGCACAAATGTATGTATAATTATGTATATATTATTGGGCAAAAATTTGTGAATAACAGCAATTTGGCTCAACCAGACAAATGATATTAGCTGACAAGTGCTGCAAAGCAGCACTTGTCAGCCAATCATTTGTTCAGTTGAGTCAAATTGCCATTATTTATAAATTTGCCCAATAATGGTGTTATCTAACAATTTATAATTATGATTGGTAGGGAATCACTTGCTAAGTTTGTTTTTTTTTAAATATTAGAAAAACATAATTACATAGTAATACATAAAAAAAATAACAAAAAGAAATTTTTTAATAATTATAAGAGTTTGCCAAATAATAATTATTAGTAAATTTCTATATTTAAAGCATAATTAAACAGATTTTATTTATTAATTAGTTAGTAATAAGTCCAGTGATCAAGCTTCAGATAATTCAGACAAAAATAATACTACTAATACTAAACAAGAGTCTAGAAAGCCCTTAGATTTTCATGTAATACATGGGCTTTCTAAAACAGAAAATTAAATTTTAATTACTTACTTTTAAAAATGATAGTGGCCAATAGTTGGAGTTTTAGATGGGTTAAAAATAGCTTCTTTTAAATTTCTTAGCCCCAAAATTTTACTATCTACTTGCAAACAACTAAGTGGAAAAATTTTGGGCAATGTTACTATTGAATTTGTGTCTAAAATAGAAAAAATAGCACAAAATGACAAAGTTAGAGTTACTGTAACTTTAGATAGTTGGACAAATATAATTAATTAGAATTTATTAGGAAGTGTTTTAATTACCTCTTCTGGTGAACCTTTAATCTAGAAAGCCCAAGAAATTAGTGCCAAAAGATCATGTGCTAGTAATATTATTTTAAAAATTGAAGAATTGTTTAATAAATTAGAATCAAAAAAATTAAAGCTATTGCTTTAGTAACAGATAGTGTAGCAGTGTATGCTGTAGCAAGGTAATTAATTATCTTGCTTTTATTATTTAAATACTATTAAAAAATACTGTAATCAGACTTTTAATTATATTTTAAACTGAAACTGATTAAAAGCCTAATAGCAGGCTTTTTTGACAATACTTACTTTAAATAGGTGCTAATTAATTTAAATTTATTTACATAGAAGACAACTACAAATAAAGTATTCAAATAAGGTTATTTTACCATGCTTTGCTCATCAATTAAATTTATATATTAGTGAGATTTTTAAGGAATCACCAGCATTTAAAAAGGCAATTGATGACATAGTTACTATTACAACATATTTTGGAAATATTAATCGTATATATTTTATTGGTAAATTGCAAGAACAGCAGAAGAATTTATACTATAAATATGTGCTTTTATTAAACCAGGTATAACATGGTGAAATTCTTATTTTTATTGTTTAGGAAGTCTTTTGAAAATAAAAGAAGCTCTTAAAGTAATTAATATAATTAAATTTATATATATTTATTAATTCAGGTCAAAAGATAAAAAATCAGACACAAATCAGATATCTGATTTGTGTCTGATTTTTTATCTTTCAACCTGTGTAACTAATTAATTATTAATATATTTTTATTGCATTTAGATATTAATTGCAAAATATCAACCTCATGAATATAATTCAAATGATGAACTATCTGATCTTCAAACATTCCTAATTTGACATTACTGAACAAAATATGTAATATTATTAATGATAATAACTAGCGGCGACAAATAAGAAATATAAAAGCTCTTATTGTGTTTGTTTTAATTTGTTAAAGCATGACAAAGCATGACTTTTTGAAGTATTACACTTTTTTGGCTATTTGGCCAAAATGATTAAAGAATATCCTGATAATGACCTTAGTCAGCAGCTTTTAAATCAGTTGAAAAAATAATAGAGCTCTTAAAACCAACCATTGCTCATATTATCATTTATTCTTTATCTAACTTATCAAATAGATAAATTTATAAATATTAACATGGATTGATATGGGTGAATATATTATATACTATTATTGTGCATAGTTTCAACAGCAACCAACTTCAATTTTATGTAAGCTTGAGCTTTACTGTCAAAAAAAATCACTATTTAATACTACAACATCAAGACAGTTTGGTAATAATATAATCGGGTATTGGAATTACTGTGTATCATATGCCAAAGAACTAGGTTAAGTTGCATTACGAATTCATGCAATTTGTGTAAATGCAGCCTCTGTAGAATATCTTTAGTCTTTAATGAGATTTATCAATTCCAGCTGGCATAACAGATTACCAGTAAAGAACTATTTTATAAATTTGTATAGACAAAATAGCAATTAAAATTGGGCAAACCCTTTTTTGCCAGTTTTAATTGCTATTGTATCTGAATTTTGTTTATAAGCAATATTTTTATATACATGTATTTATCTTTTAATTAATTAAATTATAGTCTTATAAAGTATTGTCATTTAGTCAATTGTGTGGAATACTTACTCAAAATCACCAAACTCAGGAATTAGATAAGCTTAAGAAACTTTATAAATCAACTTCTACAATCTTTTTGTTAGGCCATCTTGAAAATGAGTCAGATGCTTTTTCAACTGATGATGAAAGCAACTGTGAAGAAGTTGAAAATAATGAAGGTGTTATGTCATTATGGTTATCAACAACAAATAAAGATAACTCTGAAGATAATCTAATAGATTTGGAATTGGCTAATATAAATGAATTGCTAGAAAATCAAAAACATCCTGTAAAGGATTGCAAGGCCAAATAGCTATTAAATAATTTGTTTTTAACTGAAATGGAAGTGCCTTTTTTTGCAACAGATATTTAGTAATATTAAAAATTTAAATTTCAGATATAATATTCTATGCAATAATGGGATAAAATCTTATTTTTTATTTTATCAAATATGTATATTTTGGTGATTATATGTAAGGTTTTGGGTTTTTCTCACTTTAAATAAATTGAATTAATTTCAGATTATTGTGGAATCTTTGTAATTAATATATTTATGCGCTGTTTAGCTTTGATAGTTGGCTTAAGCGAAAGTAAATATATGCAATATCTTCTTCTCTATCTAAATATGGGAACATTCATGTTTCAGATATAAAATATTAGTTATTTATCCAGACATTGTTATAGAGAATATTTTAGAATTCTGAATCAGAAAATTCAATTAGCATAGTAGATGATAATATATTCTTGTTATCTGTAAGGTATGATATATACACTAATAGAACTATATTATTGCCCAAATAAACTTTTTTTAATTAATAAATAATAGGAACTAATAATTCAAATGAATATATATAAATGATAAAATAAGTGATTTTGGTTTGATTTTTTTATTAATTAATTAATAAATAATAAGAACTAATAATTCAAATGATGAATATATATAAATGATAGAATGAACAATTGTGTTTTGATTTAACTCAATCTTTAATATTTCAATGTTACATAATACATTACCAACTGACAAAGATGTTTCAAAGCTTCTTAAACTCTCATGAGTATATAATACAGATAAATGTATAGCAAAGTGATTATGAGCAGTTGACAGATATAGAGAAGTATTGAACTACGAAAATTTATTTGAAAGCATACTCAAAGTCATTGAGCTTGAAAGCTTTCTTTACAAATTTCTTGTATAGCTAAAATGAATAGATAGAAAGAAATATATTGCTATGCTTCTCTTGCTCGATATCTGAAAGAAAATTTAATAATTAAACTGTGTAACTTATAGGATTCTTACAAATTTGGAAAGTCTTTATGAACCTTGGATGGTAAATGAAGAAGCTACAAAAAGATGGATTAGAGGAACTCGAGTAGGCTGCTGCACTTACTGTAAATGAAATTTTTCAAGTTTTAGATCATGAATCAATGTCAATAAATGATAATGAAAGTTTGGTTTGACGTATATTTTTTTAGCTTTTACTACTTTGTGGTTTGTAGGGTGGTGATACTGCAAAATTAAAAGTAGAAGATATAAGCTGTCAACCTCATAGTGGATTATTTCTTGTTCTTACTCATGAAAAAATAATCAAAGGGGTGCTCTAAAGTGTAATAAATATAAAAAATCATCTGCAAGAAAATTACCAATTCCTCCAGATAATTCAAACAATCGCTTTAAACCCGTTTATGACATATTAAAAATAATTTCTCTTTGTTTTCTTAATGCTGATGATGCATTATTCTTTTTTTTTTTTTATTGATTAAGGAGACCTCTTTGGCCTGAAAGCTTTTATTAGGATTTGAAACGGTGTTTTATATG